AGAGTCAGGGCGTCCGAACCCGGAGGCTCGCGTCTTTGTTTCTGTTCATCTCCATTTTGTTCTGCTCACCAGAAGTCTTCATTCCTCCTTGTTGATGTTTTTGCTTTGCTTAGTTTCGCTTTGTTTTGTTTTGTTTTTCTTTTCTTTGTTTAGTTTTGTTCCCCACCCCCCACTCCCCTGAGCATGCTGGCGCGTTGCTTTTCGGGGCGTTTTGTGCAGTGGCAGTGGCTCCCAGAACAGGTGGCGTCCGCCCGGTGTGGCCCAGTTAGTGCCCGGTGGGCGGGGTCCAGATGGCGTCCGCCCCTCAGGTGGCGCCCGTTGCGGCCCAGGTGGCGTCTGGTGGGGCCCAAGAGGCGCCACCTGTTGTTTGGGCCCAGGTGGTTTCTGTTGAGACCCAGGTGGAGCCTGTCGGGGCCCAAGTGGCGCCCAGTGAGGCCCAGGTGGCGTCCGCCTGTCGAGTGGGATCCAGGTGGCGTCTGGTGAGGCCCGAGTGGCGCCCGCCCGCCCGCCTGTTGGGGCCCAGGTGGCAGCCGGTGATGCTCAGGTAGCGTCCGCCCACCTGTCGGGGGGACCCAGGTGGCGTCCACCTGTCGGGTAGGGCCCAGGTGGTGTCCGCCCGGCTAACGGGGGCCCAGGGTGCGGCCGGTGAGGCCCAGGTGGCGTCCGCCTGTCAGGTGGCGTCCGGTGGGCGTGGCCCAGGTGGTGCCCGGCGTTGGGAGCTGCCCCTCCTGCACACAGCGCTTGTTTAGGCTACTGCATGTGTCAGAGCAGCATAAACCTCACCGTCATGCCTCCATTGGCTCCTCTTATTTACCCCACCTGCCCCCCCCTCTGCATGACTCATCTGTTTACCGACCAATCAGACGGGTCCATCAGCCCTCGGCTGGTGGGGTCTGGGGGCCCCTGCTTTCAGAACTGACTCCAGATTAGCTCTCAGACCCAGATGGTGGTTGCCATGGCGTTGCCGTGGCGCTGGGCAGGCTCCGCCCCCTCCATCCTTCACCCCCCCGGTCCGCTCTCCGTCGGTCTCTGTCCTCCATCTTGTCTCCGCTCAGTTTTAAGGACT